TGGCATGGATTGAAATCTGGTTTTTTGAGTATGTCGTTTCGTTTTGTTTTTGAATATAATTAATAAATTATTTTTAGCTATCGTGTTATTCCTCATGAGCGTCGTTTACGAGAAGCATGTAAGACTTGCTTAATTAATCAATTCATAATCTATGATTTTTTTTTTCAATTAGTAAATCATAATGATCGGCGTCCATTATTAGGTTCAAATTCAAGTCGATCAACATCTCCAATTCCACCGACTTCTAATTATCATTCCATAAATATTTCTGATGAACGTGGACAATCATTCTATTCGCCTGTTCCATCTATGGAAGGTATACTAAAGATAGACTGACGCCATACTGTTTTTATGTATAATTTAACTGGAAAAAAAATAAGAATATACCAGCTGACTATAAATATCATTGAAACAGATGTATAACTTTCTTTTTTTTTTGTTTGTGAATAACACAAAGAAACCATTGGTGATTTAACCGAATCAACAGATTTCAAATGTCAACACAGGGCAAGAAGTTTAAATAAAATTATTTGAAAAAAAATTCTTTTTAAACAAAAATAATAAATAACAAATTTATATTTTAGGTAGTGATGCAGAGGAAACTAATATACAACCAGTACGAAATATTCGTTCGGATTCTACTATATCACAATCAATGTTAGGAACACCAACATCAGTTATTGAAGATTATAATGATGATGAATATGGAAAACAAGCAGATGAAATTATTGAAAGAATCTGGGGTATATATCAAGATAATAATTGTTGGATACCGGAATCTAAAAGTAGTGATGGACTTGATGTTATTGCTGCGAAGAATTTTCCAAAATGGGGAAAAATATTTCGATTAACTGTAAGAAATAAATACAAAAATATACATATATATAAAAATAGAAATCGTTTTTCTTTTCAGAGTACTATTACAGGATCTCGTGAGGATCTAGTTGAAATATTATTTGAACGTCAAGAAGATATGTCGAAATGGAATCCAACTGTGAATGATTGTAGAGTATGTGTATACAGTTTTTTTTATATATTATACAAAATTCGATTTTCTTCTTTCATAGATATTAGAAGTTATTAATAATGATTTATATGTATCGTAAGTTATCTATCAAATTGAATGTATTAGAATTATAGATTCTTTTTTTTATAGTTATCAATTAATTAATGAACAAGCGCAAGGAATAATAGCGAAACGAGATTTTGTAAATTTATCAATACGTCGATATATTGATGGTATTGCTATATTAGCTGGGCAAGCTTGTAATTATCCACCAATGCCTGCAAAAGACAAGTAAGAAGAAATTATTTAATTTTTTTATTTATATTTATTTATTTATTTTGATTTAGTTGTGTTCGGTAAGTTCTATGAAATTTGTATCAAATTTTTTACTTTATTACAAATCAGAGGTGAGAATGGTCCAACTGCATATATTGTCGAGAAAATTGATGATACAACTTGTAAATTTACATGGTTATTAAATGTTGATTTAAAAGTATGAAAATATATGATTAATTTTATTAAATAAAAAAGATTTACATTTTTTTAGGGTTGGCTTCCTCAATATTTAATTAATAGTTCTCTTGCCAGTGCTCAATTAACACTTATTGAATCACTTAGAAATTATTTATCGAAAACAGTTGATATCACATCATCATTTTCATCATCAACCGGTGATTTAACAACATAAAATTTTTCTTATTTAACAAATTTTTCAAAGATTGGTTCAAATATTTTTTTTATAAAATTCCTCTAAATGTTGCCTTTTATTATATTTTTTTGTTAAAATTGACGAGGTTTAGTGTCATCTAAAATGAAACAAACAAAAAAGTATAATCTTCATAAGTGATTAATATTACGATATGATTTCATTCATTCCAAAAGCAAAAGTACCATAATTTATAGTTGCTCATAATTAAAAATCTAAATCAGTATTACATTAGTTTTACATCCTTACACATCATCTTTATAATTATTGAATTATTGAAATTCTGTTTTGTTGTTTATACGTACGATTTCTTATTATGTGATTGTTATGACGACCATTGTATATATCTTATCTGAATATCGTTTAATTCTCCCTTTTGCATCCAATTTATATATTTGACGACATTTCGACACATATTTTCTTTCTCGTTCGATTGCTACAAAAAAAGAGTAACACAAATATGAATGTTATTCACTTATGCCTGGCTGACATATTATTTTTTCCACTATGTCAAAAGTACTATGTCATTCAAAATCAGGTAAAACCAGCATCAACTGAGCAATTAACATGACAACATACAATGAATAACTTTTTTCTTTTCATCCTACTCTACATAACATTTACTAACAATCATCTTTTATGTTAGTTTATTTCGTTTCATTAATACGCAACAAATGGTAACAATGTTCGATCGATGTGACATTGCCTAATGAAAAAAAAAGTACATGACAGAATCACAAATAACACTTTGAAATTATACTATCACATTTACTTCGGTTCAGAACACAGCTTAAAAAAGAGCCAATATATTATGATCCTTTTATAATGAAAAAAGTAGAACAAGTTGTACACTTTAGTAAACATGGTTTCAAAACAATCAAACAGCATTGTTGTCATTTTTAAGTTACCCATGCAATAAAATCCTAATACGACGATAAACACATTCTTCTATCTCAACACGATAGTATGTTCATCACTAACATTTACAATTTTGCCAATTGTTTATTCCTCTGAATAAGTTCATTCACATCATCTATAACTTTCTTTCCGATTTGATTGCCACCGAGATCAAGTTTGGTGAGTACCTGTGTGACAAAAATGTAAATGTGTGCATGAGATAGTTTAAGAGAACATAAGATTTACTGTATTGTTTCTTAATGAATCGACAAGATGTTGTGCACCCTTCTCTCCGATTTGATTATCGTAAAGATCAAGTGCGATGAGTGCCTGTGTGAAAAAGTGAAAGTGTATGTATGAAATGGTTGCAGAGACAATGAGATTTACTGTGTTATTTCTTAATGAATCAGCAAAATGTTGTGCTGCCTTCTCTCCGATTTGATTTAGGCGGAGATGAAGTGTGCTGAGTATCTATGTGAAAAAGTGTAAATATTTGTATGAGATAGTTGAAGGGAAAATGATATTTACTTTATTGTAGCTTAATGAATCAGCAAGATGTTGTGCTCCCTTCTCTCCGATTTGATTGTTGTTTAGATCAAGTGTGATGAGTGTCTGTGTGAAAAAGTGTGAATATTTGTATGAAATAGTTGAGGAAAAAATGAGATTTACTGTATTGTTTTTCAATAAACCAGCAAGGTGTTCTGCTCCTTTGTCTCCGATTTGATTGCCATCGAGCTCAAGTGTAGTGAGTGTCTGTGTGAAAAAAATGTAAATGTTTGTATGAGATCGTTTAAGAGAGAATGAGATTTACTGCATTTTTTCTCAATGAAGTAGCAAGATGTTGTGCTCCCTTCTCTCCGATTTGATTATAACCGAGGTAAAGTGTGATGAGTGTCTGTGGGAAAATTATAAATGCTTGTATGAGATGGTTGAAATGAAAGTGAGATTTACTGTATTTTTTCTTAATAAATCAGCGACATGTTCTGCACCTTTCTCTCCGATATGATTAAAGTGGAAATTAAGTGTGGTGAGTGTCTATGTGAAAAAGTGTAAATGAATGTCTGAGATAGTTGAAGAGAGAATGAGATTTACTTTGTTCTTTCTTAATGAATCAGCAAGATGTTGTGTACCCTTGTTTCCGATTCGATTGTTGGGGAGCTCAAGTGTGGTGAGTGTCTATGTGAAAAAGTGTGAATATTTGTATGAGATCGTTTAAGAGAGAATGAGATTCACTGTGTTTTTTCTCAATGAAGTGGCAAGATGTTCTGCTCCCTTCTCTCCAATTTGATTATAACCAAGGTGAAGCGAGATGAGTGTCTGTGTGGAAATTGTAAATGCTTGTATGAGATAGTTGAAGGAAGAATCAGATTTACTGTATTGGTTCTTAATAAATCAGCAAAATGTTGTATACCTTTGTCTCCGATATGATTATAGTGGAGATTAAGTGTCGTGAGTGTCTATGTGAAAAAATGCAAATGTTTGTATGATATAGTTGAAGAGAGAATGAGGTTTACTTTGTTTTTTCTTAATGAATCAACAAGATGTTGTGCTCCCTGCTCTGCGATTTGATTAAAATCGAGATTGAGTATGGTGAGTGTCTATGTGAAAAAGCCTAAATATTTGTATGAGATAGAGTAAGACAGAATGAGGTTTACTGTGTCGTTTCTTAATGAATTAGCAAGATGTTGTGCTTTTCGGTCTCCGATTTTATTGTTGTAGAGATCAAGTTTGGTGAGTGTCTGTGTCAAAAAAAAGTAAATGTGTGTATGAGATAGTTTAAGAGGGTGTGGGGGCAGGCATGATTGTAGGCTCTTACTTGATATCGCGGATAACTGTCAAGGATTTGATTGAATCGTTGACAGACATTTTGCATAGAGCAGAACAAAGTAAAATTGGTTTCATAGTCCAGAATTCGATAAACGAGCTCTACTGGTAATGTAAGAAATGTACACATACTTTTGCCAAATTTGACGAAGATTCTCAAAATATGTTATGTAGTGCTACCGAAAGTAATTTTGTACGCTTTGATAACAGTATTTCGAGATTTTAGAGAATGGTACAGTTATCTTATTGTTAAAAGAATTGGCTAGTGGTAGTTTTAATAACGAATTGTTAGTTTTGTTCAAAAAGATGGCGTTAATGTATATGTTTGGTGGATTTTCGTGAAAAGATAATACAGAATTGGATGAGTATTTGTTTAGTCTTCTGTTTTTGGTGAAGAGTGTGAGTGTGGGCGCAGATGCGGGTGTGAAGGGCTTTTCTTCTCTCATAACTGCACACCCACAGTCATCATCACGCATATCTACACCTACCCTTGAGTGCTACTGATTTAGTCATTATTATTCACAAATAATCGATTGAAATTTCTGAGAATGGTATAATCAATATTAATATTTTTTCATTGTTTACTATCATTATAACTTAGCGCAATGACTTCTATGGTTCTTTTCTGACATATCGAGTAAATATTGTTGAAATTATTTATTTAAAACATATGTAACAGTCAGAAGAATAAATATAAATAAATGCTTGCTATTTTAAATCATTCTGAAAAAGCATTGAAGAAGATAGTCATTTGTATAGTTTTGATATTTTGTACAGTGTAGATACATTTATCTGATAACACAAACACTGTCAACTATCATACTGAATATTGTTCGAAACACTGATAAAAATAACTTTTACAGTAAACATATATTCTGATCTTGTTGATTTTGATATTTGAATAAAGTAAGGATATTTTTTTTTATCAAAAAGACATACAATAGCAGTTATGCTTGTATTAGATCGACTATCAAAAACCGATTGATTAAAAGTGTGATGAGTTGATTTTGATGAAAATATATGTTCCAAGATATGTCTTTTGTGAATTAATATATTAAAGATGACATCAATCAGTGAATCATCAGATATATGTTAATAGTCATTGAAACAGTTCTTGTTGTTGAATACACTTGAAATATTATATTATCATTGTTGCACTAAAAATCTGTTTTAACTGTCATTAATAGTGTCGCACATAAACGTGCAGAGAACAGAAAACATTGTCATAGATTTCAGTCTCATAGATGAACACAAATCATATTCTTCCACAGCATCATTAATTCACCATCAAAATTACCGACGGTCGAAATTTATCTTAATCCTATATCAAATGTACCATGAATCAGATACTTTCCCGATTAGTTTTTAAAAGAAACTTTAAATAAGTTACTTATTTTTCGACTAGTTCTCTGATTTTCTCAAAACTGCTATCTCATTCAAAATCACGTAAAACCAGCATCAACTTAGCAATTAACATGACAACACACACTGAATAAATTTTTTCTTTTCACTCTATTCTACATAACATCTACTAGCCATCATTCTCTTGATCATACTAACAACCATCTCTTATGTTAGCTCGTTTCGTTTCATTAGCACGTAATATATGATAAATATGTTCTATCGCTGTGAGATCGGTCCATGAAATGACACTACATGACAGAATCGCAAATAATATTTTGAAATTATACAATCACATCTCCTTCATTTGAGAGCATAGCTTAAACAAGAACTAATCTACTACGATCACCATCATCATCAGTCGACTGCAAATAAGCGGTGTGTGAGCGTATGGGTGTGGGTGATAGTGAGAGTGCAGATGAAATATGAAGGCAAAACACCCACCCACACCCTGTTAACTTTGAACAAGTAAATAATGAGTTTTTTCTTATATAGAATGTAATAAATACGTAACGTGAATATATTCTTTTGTTTTTTAATAAACAAACATAAGCAAAACGCAAGTAAAAAAAAGTTTTCTTTATAAAAATGAAGGAATTCTTTTTGATTGGATTGAAACAGAATAAACATCAGAAAATTTGATGAGTGGAAATATATCGATGAAAATTAAAGGGTGGGTGTGGGCTAAGAGAAGCTAGAAACCTGCATCCACATCCACACCCAATCGAGGTGACTCAGAGGTTTGAGGCTGAGATTTCGTGCACAAGTAGAGCCCGATAAGGTTAAACAAATCCTAAAAGGATAAGGGCCTATATGCTTTGCTTCTTGAATTACGACCATTTTACTGAATATATTATCAA